CATGTAGCTTCACAAATTGACTAAGCCAGTCACCTGTGTGCAAGACAGCAGCTGTTAGTGTGTAAAGGCAGATTTCAAACGGCTGTCAAAAATTCAGTTATTAAGACAAAAATCCGAAAATACACAAATTGCATCTAGACAGCATGGAGATGTTGGTAATTTGTTTTTAACAATGATTTATTGGCTCCATAAGTGAAAAACTGATGTTTAAAAATGCCATTTTTGCATTGACTCCAATTGTTCACATGAGAGCGAAATTCAAAATGCTGTAAAAAAATCAGTTTTTGAGATACAATTCTGATATTTTCCAAACATCATCTACCATGACTCCACAATTTTGTCATTTTTTAATGAACATTGAAAATGTATTTAGCATGAATTTGCAAGTATATGTTTACAATACCGTTTACAGTCAAACATTTTGATGCACTGTAGGCTCAATTTTTGATAAATCAAAAATCTGTGTGGATCGTTTGTGTAGGACAGTTTGAAGATGCTCTGTAGCAAGTTTGGTGTCAATTGAGCAAAAATTGTGGGAGGAGATAGGTTTCAGAAGTTTTACAGTTTTTGAAAAAAAACAGTGATGGACTTCATAATTTGCAATAGGTTTAAATGTACAAAAGTTTCTTCAGTATTGGGGCTACAGTTTGATGAAAGTTGCAAATCTGTAGCCCATATGGTTGATTTGTTGTGAATTTTCAAAATTTTGAACTTTAGAGGCTTGCTGTAGCGCCACCATCAGAACTATTGGCCTGTTTTTGCAGCTGAGGCAATCTGGCATGGCACTGGACCTTTGTGCAAAGTTTGGTGATTTTTCACGCATGGGAAGTATGATTTCCTCGGAAGAAGAAGAAGAACATGCAGCAAAACAATAGGGTCCTGGCAGCTTAGGCTGCCCGGCCCCTAACAAGACATCACATAGAATAAATTACAAACACAGGCACAATAAGAAATCATGGTTTATAAAGACTGTAAAGAAAGAATAAAGAATGTTTGCTTGAGCATACATCATGTGGCATTGCCTATAAATATTTTATTTGTTTGGAAGATTCTGTTTCCTGATAAGTGTCATGTGTGTGTGTCCATGTGTGTATTAGATGGAGGCTTCATCCTTCCAGTTTGCTTTCTACGGAGAGGGCTACACAGAGGAACAGGACCCCTCCCAGGGAAAACCTAATGCCAAGATCCGCACACTGGTTCAGGGACCAGGTAACTGAAAATCCTAATATAATACAAGACCATGAATTCAATGTGAGCAAGAGATACTTAGGTTTCCCCTTTAGCGGTTTGGCTTGAAATATTTTAAGCCCTCCATGAACGCAGGAACAAAACGTGAAATAATATCTGTACATTAATATGAACAGCAACCATGTTTGTACACTAGAGAACTTTGAAAAGACTCAAAGCTAAAGACAATGGGTCTCATTCATGAAACATGAGCAGAAGGAATTTGTGTGTAAACTGTTCGCAGACTGAAATTTACGTGCATGTCCGTATTCATCAATATTTCAGTAGCTCCAATCTTTTCGTAGCTACTAACAAAATCTACTCCTGCTCCTGACCACTCGTAGTGCTTGTGTAAATTTAGTAAAGCACATAAATATTGCTTGTCACTATTGGAAATTACAATTTTAACTCGTACTGCGCTCTGTTATGTACACAATACACAGATGTCTTTGAAACACGTAATCTAAACATGACAAAATATTAAAAATATAACACATTTAGTTAAATTAGTTGGCAATTAGCAGGTTTAAGATCCAGATTAGTTTCATGATTGTGAATTATCTATGTAAATTGACTCAATAGATTACACGTTCTTTCTACATGTTGAATAATGATAATAAAAATATCCGTAAGGACAGCCGGATCACAGCCTCTTCGGCCTCGGTGCCTGGGTTCAGCAAGGGCAGCTGGGGCAGCAGGAGCAGCAGGTGGTGGAGCCATGAAGGAGCACGCGCCAGCTGAAAGAATTATTTGAGACAACACGTTTTTGTTTTTTTTTGTGGCTTTTTGATCATTTGAATTAATAAATCTGATTTGAAAAACGTTTAATTTACGTTGTATAAAACAGCTTTAGGCTATTAAGATTCAAATAATTTGAAGACGATGCATGCAAAACTGCTGTAGGCTATATGTTATCCATATCATTTGTTAAATAAATGTTAAATAACTCTACATTCCGACAGCCATCACTGATTTAGAGTTTATCCATTATGCACAAAACATCTCTGATTTCCCGTTCCCACTTCATTCAAAACCCCACAAATGAATCTTCTGTTTGTTTGGTGACCGCTGTATTTTTTGTATGTGTGCTTATGCGTTTCTTTGCCTCCAGTTTCATATCAAACCATTTACGCTTCACCTCTGACATGGTTCTTTGTACCACAGAGACAACATTAACAGCATCTGTTACCTCCCTCCAGGCCTTCGCTTTGCCTGTCGCTGTCACACCACTACTAACTGAAGAAAATAAAATGTTTTTTCTTAAGTCCACTTCACCCAAAATTATTTTGATCTCCACTTCGGAAAAATTCTTTTTTCTTTCTCTGTCTTTCTTTCTTTGCGCCATGACTGACAGGTCGAGTGGATGCACCTACACCTCCTTATATGGTGGCCATTGGCTATTCATGGGCGGGGATTTATGCTAATTGCTGATTACCGGGAGCGCGCTATCACTTTACGATGGATTGGCATTCATGATCATACACACGTGTTTACGATCAAATCTGAGTTTCCTTTGGTGTTCCTGAATCTGGAGTAGGTTTTTAGTAGAGTAGGTTTTTATGTGCAAATCTACACACAGATTTACTCACTTTTCATGAATGAGACCCAATGAGCCTCATTCATTGATATAAACTGTAGAATTCAAAAAGCACAATAACTAATTATTTTTCACAAACATGTCAGCAAAAAAGTGCAAGTATCCAGGAGGGTTCTGGAGAGTGCAGCTGTCGTTTGTTGACAGTGTTCACATCAGTGATTTTATTCCAACAATGTCAATTTGCCTGCGGTAGTGAAATCGCTTGAAAAGTCATTTGGTGTAAGGCCAGTTGTATTTGATACTTAACTCTGTTCTGTCCAAGATGTGAAATGAGGCAGATTATCCTAAGTACTCAGTCTTGCCAGCTCAATACCTTTACTTGTTGTGTCTACTGGTTATTTAATTGTCTGTCTGTTATTACTCAGAGTGTGGATATGTGGCCACGCCCATTGCCATGGTACAGGCTGCTCTAACGATCCTCAACGAACCCACAGCCCTGCCCAAGACGTGAGTTATCACACCCCAAATCTACTGTCTATACAACATGAACTATTAAATCAACTTGTCACTTTGCACTTCTTTATTTGCTCCTCTCCAAGTTAAGTTAATCTCTGTGTATTTGAACAATCTTCCCAGATGAGTCAATGTGAGACCTGATACCTGAGCCACACATGTAGAGAATTTATCTTTCCCAGGTCGAGCCCATGTGTTTGGTTCCAGGCTCTTGTTTAGTAGCTCACATTTTTTGAAGTGGGGTTGTTTGGGGTACTTATCCATAGTCAGTGTATTACCTACAATAGATGGAAGTCATCATGCCCCCAAGGTCCCACCTAAAAAAAATCAGTAACAGTTTAAGCAGTGGAAGATGAGATGGTGAATAAAAAGTATCAAGAGTCATTTTATAATAGGTGTACTCAAGTATTGAAAGTAAAAGTACAAGTAGATGCTGTTAATAAAAAAGCAAGCGGTCAGAATTTGGAGAATTAGGAAGTTTATTTATTTGTAACATGTACACCGCCTTAAAAATGGAGTGTATGTTAAAGCTAAAAACTAAGGTCTTTTTCATAACTTCAAGGATTTAAAGAACAAAATCCATTTTTCCCAACCTCCCATTCATTTATTTGTCTACCTGTCCCTTTTCTTTCTTTCTCATTCCTTCCTCTATTCTTTCCCTTTTTTTAGTAACTACACTGCTTAGGAGAAATGTACTGGAGTGAAAGTATTCATTTTATTTAGGAAATGTGGAGGAGTAAAAGTGAAAGTTGACATCCCCCCATCCACAGCAGTACATTGCTTAGCTTTGGTGTTGAACTCCAGCATGCTTTTCCAAACTGGAAGCATGTCAATCGACAACTACTATATGCAATATACTGAGTATGGATAAGTACCTCATACAGCTCCACTTCAAAAGATCAGAACTAACCCTTTAAGTTTTATGAGAACAAAGTTTGTCAATCCATTTTGTTAGTCCATATAAAATGACATTTACGCTTCGTCCTACAGGAATTGGATGATTGATAATCTACTAAAAACCAGATGGCAATTTAATGTGTTCATGCTGTTTAATTTAATAGACTAAAAACAGAAAATGTGGTAATGTCAAATAAAATACCAACATAAAAGCTCTTCTAGGAAGTGAGACTGAGCGTAGCTACATTTGATCATCATGCAACAAATGTTGCTACAGCATTGATACTGTGCAGAGTTTCTATGAAAATATATCTCTTTTTAAGCCCCCCCAAAAAATGTGGTTTAACATTGATGAATTCCCTGGATGTCATTTGATAAAATTCCTAAAACATACTGTATGTATTAAATTAATTTTTTGTCCTTCCTTTCCAGGGGAGGAGTGTACACCCCAGGAGCTGCTTTTGCTAAAACCACACTGATCGACCGTCTCAACAAACATGGCATCCAGTTCTCTGTCATCTAAAGTTTATCCCCCTCCCTGATGCCGTACTCCAGGTTTTTCTCAGCACTTACTAATATGCATAATAACAACTGGGAAGTTTACGATTTTAGAGGAGAGCTACTTCATCCCGCAATGGCCTGAGATGGAGTGCACGTTCAGATTAAGTTCTAACACCTTTTTGATGGTACCTTCAGCATTTATCTTTTTTATTTGGTCTGAAACTTGCCACTTGTCTTTCTTTGGCTTGAATGTAGAATTTACTCTGCTTGTGAGACAAATAGCACAGCTGCAGCAGCGTTTCCCAACCAAGGACAGTCAAAGCACAGATGTGTGTAAATGGGTTTACACTAACAGGATTATCACTAATGAAAGGAGAGCTCTGGGCAGGATTTATGTAATTATTATTCATATTTGAACCTCATTGGACAGAAAATGTTTTACTACTAGTCTCTCCCTACCACTGTTTACTATCAAGTGATACAAGAGAAAATGTGTAGATGGCACTTTTATCATACCAAAGATTGGTTTGTGACATTCGTGACATATTGGTATTGGTATTTACCTACACAACAACAGCTAGCTCGACAACAAATCATGTTCTCTTGACAACCTGTCAAATAAAATAGCTACTGTAAAGCAGGATAACAGCTTGATAGCATTAATGTAGTGATCCTGGACCATGTGTCATATGGATCATTGTTGTGGATTTGTATTGTAGGTTGAAATCTACATCATTACAAATGTAGCAAACAGTGTTAAAAAGCATCAGCTCTAAGTGTTTTAGAAACGTAAAGTTATACAGTCTTTATAAGTGTTGTCCTTGTGACATACAGTAGCTTCAGATGCACAAGGACTTTACTCTTTAAGTAGCAGTAACATGGCAGCTGTACATCTTCTGGTTCAGTGGAGTAAAGCTGTCAACAGAGAATAGAAGCCTGCTGAGTGTGTGTGTGTGTGTGCGTGTGCGTGCGTGTATGTATGTGTGTGCACGTACATGCTTGCCTTTCCTGGCTTGGCCTGTTAGCTAAAAATCCAGATTGCTTTGTTTTCGACAGTTAATAGTTGGACTATCACTAAATCATCCTACTTTCTTGAATCTTTTTTTGTAGCTGAATGTTGCAACAATTCACCGATCCAGATGTTTACTTTTGAGCCTCGTCAGAAAAATGTTTCTAGTTTCTAGTGCACGAAACAGCATGAGTTACTCCATGAGACAGAACGAGCTGTCTCTGATGTTTTGTTAACAAGTGTGTGGAAAGTTTTAGGTTGTTTTTTTTTTTTTAATCTTTAGAAGTTTGTCGCTCCTATGGACTGGAATTGATTTATCCATAAAGTGATGTTGATCTCAGTCCTTGTTTTTCACATCTGAGAGTGCGAGCATCATGTGCACGTGACAAGAATGTTTTTGAGGTTGTTGTTTTTTTCGGTGTGCTTTGCTTTATATGGGCCTCATAAATAAAAGGAACTCTGCTAATAGAAAGAAATCTTGTGTCTTTCTCTTTTCTATCATGCATTTCCTTTGTATAGACATATTCTGAGAATTAAAAAAAACATCAATTGTGACACATATTCCAAAAACGCTGTATACATGTCCTGAGAATGCACCTAAAACCAGAATAATAACGGCAATCCCACTTATTTTTACAGTCTATGATCCCACATCTAAATGGAGCATGCTGTTTGCCATTTTGGGAATGTAAAATGTAACCAACGGCACACCCACCATGTGCAATTGCAAGAACATCAGAGCTTAAAGCCCAACTTGCAGGTTGGAGACCATGGTGAATAAATGTGTAGGAAAATGATGTAGAAACTCGATTAAAACAAAAAACATATACACACTACAGTGACTTTTGGGGTCGTTTTTGTGAGAGAATTTTGCTTCCGCATCTAAAAAACCCACTAACCGGAAGTGACTTTGCGTAAGGGAGTCCGGTCGGCCGGGTTCGATTGGGTGTAACAGACTGTATAAATAATGGTGTAACATTAATAAACATGGATTCCAGTACTAGTTTTGAGACTGAAGAGGTTGAAAATGTACATTCATATGCGTACGATGGCCCACAGGCTTATAATTATGAGCCTGCTAGGCGTCTAAGAGGCCGTTTACACGTTGCCGGCTATTTTCATAAACTGACATTTCACCGTCTCCGTTTTCAAAGAGATCTTTGTTTACACTTACCCGTGTATATATACACAAGAGCATGCCAAACCTGTAGGTGGCAGTGTAACGAGAAGCTCAAGCCTTCCATGTATCCATTGTCACCATAGCAACATAGGTCGCACTTTTTACACAGGCGCAAGTTCCGGCGCATACTGTGACGTGGGCTGCCTATAACTCCGTTTATTTGCGTTTATCTCAGTTTACATGCAAACGCGCAACCGGAGTTTTCCAAAATCTCCACTCTGGCCGGAGTTTTTAGAAAGACTCGTTTTCAGAGGAGAAATCTCCGTTTGCGTGTAAACGAAGGGCACAAACGAAGGAAGATGTCTCCGTTTATCAAAATCACCGTGTACGTGTAAACGGCCTCCAAGAGACCAGGAACAGATCAGGGCTAGGATAAATAACGGCCACAGGAAAGAAATAGAGCTGTGGTGTGAGGAGAACCAGTGGAGAACTGGGCAGGTGTCTTGGAGGCCGTTTACACGTACACGGTGATTTTGATAAACGGAGACATCTTCCTTCGTTTGTGCCCTTCGTTTACACGCAAACGGAGATTTCTCCCCTGAAAACGAGTCTTTCTAAAAACTCCGGCCAGAGTGGAGATTTTGGAAAACTCCGGCGCGTTTGCATGTAAACGGAGATAAACCGAGTTATAGGCAGCCGACGTCACAGTATGCACCGGAACTTGCGCCTGTGTCAAAAGTGCGACCTATGTTGCTATGGTGACAATGGATACACGGAAGGCTTGAGCTTCTCGTTACACTGCCACCTACAGGTTTGGCATGCTCTTGTGTATATATACACAGGTAAGTGTAAATGAAGATCGCTTTGAAAACGGAGACGGTGAAATGTCCGTTTATGAAAATAGCCGGCAACGTGTAAACGGCCTCTTCATCTGCACAAAACGCACCCAGGCACGAGAACTAACTCCACTCCTTTTTCTGTCCGGAAAACGGTGGACTCGATGTCCTGACAGACTCGAGTTTGTGCAACCTGCACAAACACAATAATTCGGCATAATCACAAATGGTAAAATGCACTGTTAACAACCGAAAAAAATACCAACTCACAAGATTGCTACCGCTCAGACTCACTACCACCTACTACTGCGAATTGATTGGACAGAGGCAGGGTCAAGGACGCAGAGTCCCTCTTGTGACATAGTATCAGGCGATGTTGGGGAAAAAAGCGTTTTTAGAAGGGGAGCTAAAAAGAGCCACTTTTTCCTCTGAATTTGTGCCCTTATGTCGTGTAAACCATAATAAATTCTGAATTAACTTCTCATATGGTAATTTTCAGACAAGGTTATGTATATATTTTAAAAAAAATTAACCCGCAAGTTGCACTTTAAGCTTTTATTTTCACAGGAAGGGCCTTGTTTCATGTTTTAGAAATTAAAAACAAATAATCATACCTTTATGTTTTAAACTTAATTTAGTATTGTCTTGGGGAGCTCTGATAGCCTCTGGGTTAAGGCATCACACAGAACTGTGCCATCCCTGGTTCAGCTGCAACCTCTGTTGCATATTATTTCCCATCTCTCATTTCCTGTCATTGTTCTATTGTTACCTCCTAACATAAAATGCCCCAAATAAACACTGCTCAAAAAAATTAAGGGAACACTTAACGGTCACACTATAACACCAGGTCAGTTAAACTTCAGGGATATCAATCTGACCATTTAGGAAGCACAAGTGATTGTGAATCAGTTTCACCTGCTTTTTGTGTTTTGCTAGTGTCCTTGTCACTACTGGTAGCATGAGGCGGTACCTGCAGTCCAATCAGGTTCCACAGGTAGTCCAGCTCCTCCAGGACGGCACATCCATATGTGTAGTTGCAAGAAGGTTTGCTGTGTCTCCCATGGAGGAGATATCAGGAGACTGACCATTACACGAAAAGAGGGTCGTAGAAGGGCATCAACCCAGCAGCAGGACCAGTATCTGCTCCTTTGTGTGAGGAGGAACAGGAGGAGCACTGCCAGAGCCCTACAAAATGACCTCCAGCAGGCTACTGGTGTGCATGTTTCTGACCAAATTGTCAGAAACAGACTCCATGAGGGTGGCATGAGGGCCCGACAGCCTCTAGTGGGACCTGTGCTCACAACCAAGCACAGTGCAGCTTGATCAGCATTTGCCAGAGAACACCAGCATTGGCAAGTCTCTTCACAGATGAGAGCAGGTTCACACTGAGCACGTGACAGGCAGGGAGGAGCCTGGAGATACTGTAGTGAACCTCATGCTGCCTGTTACATCATTCAGCATGACCGATTTGGTGGTGGGTCAGTGATGGTCTGGGGGGGGCATATTCCTGCTGTTTGGCACGAGGATGGAACCTCTTTCATTTACCCATGCAGTAAATGGTTGCAAGCCGGACTCAAACCTGCGACCACTGCGTCGAGGCATTGCCTCTGTACATGGGGCGCCGGCACTATCCACTACGCTACCGATGTCCCATCAATAAAGATTTTCAACTTGAATAATTTGTTCATCATGATCTAATGTGTGTTTAAAGTGCTCCCTTCATTTTTTGTATGAAAAAAAAAATTACCACCTTGCAGTTGTATGCCTCCCCAAACCAGTCAAGTTGCAGTTAGTTTACATGCATGTCTGTCCATGACAGCTGACAGTGCTTTAAATATGGATGAGCTGCAAAGAAGTTACAGCTTCTAAAACACTGATGCTTCACACACATCAAAATAATAGAGGTTAGTGATAAAATGACAAATGAGTCATGAATGGCTGTAAAGTGAAATAATTTTGAGCTTTGTGAAAACTAAGTGTACTTGCAAATATTTCACTGCTTTAACACAACTTTCCACTGAAAGGGTCATCAGTCAAATCACGCTGTTTGCATGCTGCATTTGCTTTGCTGTAAGGATTGTTTATGTCACGAATGTTCAGCTTACAAGAGAAGTGCCGTGCTGCACTGGTTAAATGACAGGTGAGCAGCATGGACAGCACTGCCACAGGACATTTTGTTGAGACACTTCAAGCGTTTTCACTACAAAACATTCATCTGCTCCTCATTTCAACCGCTCTCGACACAGCAACTGCTGGCTGCTGAAGGATGACACAGATGTTGGTCTGTCTCTTATCTCCATCATCTTGATTAGTAACTTTGTGGTGGGCCTCCCAGCAAATGTATGGGTGGTTTGGCTCATTTGTCACATACCCAAAGAGGTGCTGTCCTCAGAAATCTATCTCCTAAGCCTGGCTGTTTGTGAGATACTTAACTGTTTGGGGCTGCCTGCACAGCTGTACTGTATGTACAGCTTTGAAAAACTCAGTCATGAGCTCTCTTTCCTGTTGTCAGTACTGTGGATGCTGGGGTGGGTTGGCCTACCCATATTCCAGTGCTCTATCTGTGTGGAACGCTACTTTGCAGTGGTCCACCCTTTGGTCTTCATCAGGTAAATGTTTGAACAGATTTTCTGCAGTTTAAGTCAGTCCTGTGAAAATAAGTCATATTTTGTGCTGCTTCTATTCACAGGTTCAAGCCCCTAAAGTACAAGGTGCCACAGTGTGCTCTGACCTGGTGTGTCTTCATTTTGGCCATTTATCTTATGTGGACGTTACCAACAGAATCACACATCGGATTGATCTAGTTTCTGCCCATACTATGCATGCTTTTGTTCTGCTACTTCTCATATTCCAGGTATTGCTACTGATCTCATTCTGTATGTGGGGATGCTCTTTGGGCTTGTACAACCCTTAGTTTACCTGCACAACGTTGGGAAGGTATCCTGTGTAAGAGAGCACGGACCTGAAGGTTAAATAGACAGAAATAACTTTTAAACTTATGGTAGATGTACAGTGAAACCATAATTTCCCTGACCACACACTGCTGAAACAAATCTTCAGCTAGACTTCTGCTCTGACTTTGTTTTTATTAATGGAAATACCTCTCCGGGACTAAATCCACTTGAAAACTAGCCTCAGTCCGGGTAACTGGAAATGTTGTGTTTGCTGATGTGCATATGGTGTGTGTTTTGGCAAGCCGCTGTGACAGCAAAACAAACACAAGCACAGGTGTCCCCTGTGATAATTTGCCTTTGTAATGGGTAGTAAAATTGATTTGTAGCAGTTAAATCATTAGTCAAGGTGTGATGACAAGCTGAGTTGCTGAATTTGTTGGACTTTTAGAGCCTTTTGTATAAACTGTGCATGTAACAGAATATTAACTTTAAATAGTTAGTTAAAGCAGAATCTATTTTTCAGATGAGATTATGAATTTTCCCACATCAATCTATGTAATCTCATCCATGTCCTACCCAGATGACAGTGACTGTGCCATTAGTTATTCTAAATAAGATACTTGTTCATAATACTCTCTCTTAACCTGTAAGTGCTGGTCTAACATCTTTAGAAAAGTGTCTGTGCCATCATCTTGTTTTTATGTGTGACTTTAAAGTGAGATTATTAGATAGATATTAGTGAGTAAACATGAGAGCAAATAACATGTGACATGACAGAATATAATTAAATAAAACTAGATATTTAGAGTGTCTGTAGGTACAAGTTATATTTTCTTTTAAACTGTACAAACTATGATGAGTTCAGGTGACCTCTAGCTCAGTGGGGAGACTATATGTCTCATATAGACTGAGTCCTGTGCAGTGGCCTGAGTTTGATTATGACCTTAATATTGATAATATTGATAATAATGAAAATAATAATAATTATAATAATAAAAACAAAACTATGATGACTTAAGAGAGTGAATGTTCCATAAAATGGCTTGAATAAACCCTGACATATTCTGGTGCTCAGACCAAATACTACACTGGTTGTTTGGTTTTGATGTGTTTTAAGTTTGCCGTTTTTTTCCACAAAAGCCTTGAATTACACTTATTTTGATTTTTCAGTGCTACAGTAAATGTCTCTGTGAGTGATCCATAAACACTGTTTTACACAATGATGATCTGATTATGTAGGACGATTCTGTTGCTTTGCTCCTTTTTTCTTAATGCTGTCTGAAAATATGTACGCTGGACTCTGGTCCTGGCTTGTTTGATTTTATGGTGTCTTATAAACCCTTTAGGGCTGGGCATAATCACTTGCATAACACTATAATAAAAAAAACAGTCATTCATTTATATAAACAATTTAAATTTACAGACTTATTAAGACCAGTTTTTAATACCACTTTAAATTATACTTTCTTTCCAAGCAAACACATTGATATCAATTCATGAATAAGATGAAAGACATTGATGATAAGTAAGTACATTCACAGGTGCATCTCAAAACATTAAAATATCATGGAAAAGTTAATTTTTTCCCCCCTTACTAAAAAGAAAACTTTCATATATTCTAGATTCATTAAACATAAGTGAAATATTTCAAGCCTTTTTTGTTTTAAAGATATTTTTTGGGCATTTCTAGCCTTTATTTGACAGGACAGACAAGCGTGAAGGGGGGAGAGAGAGGGGGAGAGACATGCAGCATAGGGCCACAGGCTGGATTCGAACCCAGGCCACTGCGGCAACAGCCTTGTACATGGGGCGCCTGCTCCACCACTAAGCCACCGACGCCCCGCCTTTTTTGTTTTAATTTTGCTGATTACAGCTTACAGCACATGAAAAATTAAAAACCCAGTATCTCAAAATATTAGAATATTACTAAGACCAATCAAAAAAAGAATTTATGATATAGAAATGTCAACCTTATGGTCATTTATGCACCCACTACTTGGTCGCGGCTCCTTTTGCACAAAGTACTATATCAATGCAGCGTGGCATGGAGGCAATCAGCCTGTGGCACTGCTGAGATGTTATGGAGGCCCAGGTTTCTTTGAAAGCAGCCTTCAGCTCATCTGTATTGTCGGGTCTGAGAGTCCAGAATATATACAACAATTTTCAATTTCTGCACTAACTGACAAGAAATATTGAGCTTTTTCACAATATTCATTTTTTTGTGATGCACCTGTACTCTTGTCCTGTGGTTAAATTGAATTTTGAGTGTTTCCATTTTATGCTACTTTGTGCTGAAACTTCACATTTTGGGAGCAAATATTGTACTTTTTATTTCACCACATTTATCTGACAACTTAGTTACTTTGTAGATTCAGATTATTAATACAAAATATAAATCTGATAAAGTGTGATCATTATAGATGAGACTATATAGCAGTGTATGAAGTAATTTAAATGAGCTCCATCTTTACCAGCTGCAACATTTAAGTGATGAACTCACTGATGCATCAGTGATAATAATAATGTATATTATTCTGAAATGGGCCATTCTGCATTAAGGAGTACTTTACTATTGGTATTTTAAGTACATTTTGATGCGAATACTTTTGCACATTTACTGAATTAAATTTTTGAATGCAGGACATTTACTTTTATATTTTTTACAATGTTATATTAGTATTTTTACCTAAGGAAAAGATCTGAGAACTTCTTCCACCAATATTCTCAAGCAATTTGTTGTTAAACCTGCATTTCCCTACTTCCATAAACTAACAAAATGGCTCGTAAGACCTTAGTTTAATGATGCAGACTCATTGTGTGATCTTAATGCATGGAGGGGGTGAAAATTGAGGCACTGTGCACATACAGGTGATGTGCTGAAGTCCGCTCCCCTGCCAATTAGTGTTTCCCTCCTGTTACCGCCTTGGTTACTGTAAATTCTCGCAGTGATGAACTAAAAAACAATTAGGATTCATTTAATCTGAATTTAAGACTAGCAAGACTTTGTAAGTACCCACAACCACCCTGTATTTTAACAAAATTCAGATGTTTATTCATAAATATACAATTATCTCCAGTACAAAACAGATCATAGTAGTAAACTATTCATGACTAAAAATGGCAGGATGGTGAATTCCTTTCCCCACACAGTTTTTCTTGGCAGTTTCCTTTGTTAAAAAAGTTACTTGAACCATTTGTAGGTTCATATAGCTGGCGTCACCTCCACATACACCATTACATGTGTCCATGGTTTTCATTCTGTATTTTCGCCAAAGTGCTGGTCTGACGAGTATCCACTATTAGAAGACATAATTGCTCTTATGGCTCTTCCCATATGTGCTCTAGTTCAGCAACCTTTTACACAAGGCAGAGCCCACTCGGCTCCTCTCTTGCTGTGTAATGTCTTTGACAGCTGCTTTCAGTATTACAGTGTACTGTGTTGCTGTTCGATCCACCTTCCACTCTGCAGCATCTGTTGTTCAGACAGTCTCTTGGTTCAGCAGCTGGTGTGAGTAGATCAAATCTTCATAGTGGTATTTCTCTGCTATCGCCATGATGGAGTCGTTACACCTGATTCTGCTCAAAATCTGCAGCACTTCAACCACAGAAGACCTGCAGCAGACAGTGACATACAAAAGTGGGTTAGAGTTGTGTGTTGCTGTAAATGCAGAAAGAAAGCCATGATATCTGAATGAATTTAGAGGATAACCAATAAATAAACTTAACATTTCTGTCACATTTGCCACTTGGGTCTTGAGACTGCAGACATCATATGTGGAATAGGGAGGCAACTTTAAGTCAAACTGCTGGTTCATCAAGTAACCATACACATACAGCCTTTTCAATAAACAGAAATATCAAGGGTAAGCATTTTGGTTTAAAAGGCAATAACAATACATTGTTTTATTTGATAGTTGAATGGCTGTGAAAAGACATACTATGCAGGATTTTCCCCAAAAACAATGTAAAGACTCATATAGAAATGAACCCCCACAGCACTCAGGTGGGGTTGGTGCTTCTCAAAAAGGTAGCGACCAGGTGCCAGACCGTTTGCAACAAGCATCAAAGAGACACAGCACCAAAAAAATCACAAATACAGTGAGGTAAAATGCCAAACAAGGTGAATATGGAGTTGGATGCGCAATCCTGCATGGAATACCTTTAAGTCTTATTTGCCACTTCACTGTGACTAACCATACAGCAATTGCCAAATCTTTCTTACAGAAACATGTTTTATTACCTGGTGTTTGGATCCTCAGGAGGGTGCTGTTTGCAGATGGTATGAGCTTTCTGAACTAGGTGGTTTTTGAAATTCTGGAGCTGAGGCAAACAGGCGTCCTCTTCTTTGAACCAAGAGAGTGGCAGACTATCTGCTATCTGGAAAAAGGGAGACAAAGCAGTGTGAGGTTAAGCATAAAAACAAGTGTGCAGACACCAAAAATACACTCCACATTAGAAAAGTACCAATTTAAAAACCTTTCTGCAGGCATGGACAGCGTTGTTGTGCAGTGTCTGACTGCATAAGGTAATCATCAGGTATCTGTTCAGCAGTTTGTCCAACATCAGCTCCTTTAACACAGACTCAGGAAGCAGTGAATCCAATTTTCCCATGTTACCTAGTAGCTAAACACAAACAAACAGCAGCCCCATGAAATGTAACTCCAAGACCAAGAAAATATAAAGAACAAAAGGGCTTTAAAAAACATGTTAGAGAGCAGTACTTTTACGGCCGTCCAGAACTGGTGATCCCTGAAGCGACACTGGGGAGACGAATGATCCTCAAGGAACCTGGTCAGAAAACAAAGACTTTAATTAACAGATTGAAAATACCATAGATCATAAAGTAATCTGACAATACTTTCATTGACCTGATCTTTAAACTAGGACTGGGTTATCATCACAATACCTTTGACCAAATACCTTGATATTGATATTGCAGTGATATTGTTGGGTTTTGACAACTGGTGCTTTCACAAAATATTTACACGGCATTTTTTGATGAATAATCATTAGTAATGTGGATATAATAACTAAGGCAGATAATAGAACATCTAGAAGAGTCTCATAAGTTCAGAGAGTTACATCACTTCACTGTAACGCAGCCTTTAAAACCAGGAAAAGACATCACTTAAGATATTTCAATACCCAAAATCTAAGACCATATCTAGGCTTAAATCACTATACTGATTTTATATAAAAATATTGCCCAGCCCTACTTTATAAAATACATCAAAGGTTATGGATTATTAATCAACAGTTTCATCTAATGATTAAGCAGAAACATAGTTGTATTCGAGTCTATACTCTATGCTGGGACTTTTTTGTCAAAAACAAGGAGAAATCTGTCAGAGTATGGACTAGTCGTTAGAGAAATATCCATAACAATTATGACTTAGGGGTGAAGTCATACCAGCTTTCCCCTCATCAGTCATTCAAATAATCACTTCATGTTTGAACTGGAAGAGGAAAGAAAAGAAACTGACTTTTTGGGGTACAGAGGGATGAAGACATCTTCATCTACGCAGCTCCTCAGTCGGCTGATCACAGCCTCTTTGAATGCCTGCAACGGACATGAATACACATCATTTCCACAACGTGCTCATACACTGTATGACATGCATGTTATAGTATATTTATACATATTGTATGTGAAGGTGTGTCATTTGGCTTTACCTTGACCGGTTTACTCTGATCTCCTTCAAAGATGGAATAGTCCTCCTTCAGTCTGTGACACACATCAGACAGACAGACTGACTGATGATGGGACATGGGATCCCACACCAGCTCCACGTAGGCTAAGCAAAGACAGAGCAAAGAAAGAACATGATGTTTCTGTAGTTTGACACATCTGCGGTGTAAAACAGACTGATGAGGTGAGGGATGGTGTGAGAGATTGTTCAAACATGAAACTGATTTATATTGAGTAGAAACACTGTGTGTAACCAGAGGCAGTGGAAGAGCAAGAAACAGAGGGGATGAGGGAGACTAGGAACACTTTGTTCTTCAGGAGAGTGGATAGAAATAAGGAACAGGTACAGCAACTGGTATTAATATCTCTTTTTTCTCCAGGAAATCATGTACAGACCTGTTGTTAAGTCTTGCCAGACTGACTCCAATCAGTAAAGTGACATTTCTGGCTTAAATTAAATCATAGGAGCTTCAAGGCACTTGCATTTTCAAACAGCTTTTACCAAGCAGTATGTGCTCTTTCTCTTGTATTTTAAATTATAAACTTATTGAAAATGTATGTGTGAGCCAATACTTACAAAAAAAAGTACAAAACAATTGTCAACAACATATAAAAATGGCATTTGTTTAATACAAAGGCAATTTTGTTTAAAAGTTTAAAGTATACTTAAATATGTAAATATGAATAAATACTAAATACAGGTCTAGTGTGTAGGATTTAGCAAAATAAACTGCGACACTGCCATTTGTGTTTTTGTGTTGGCCATCGTAGTTAGCAGCCCCTTCCAAGATGAGAATGTCAGAAAAACACCTTTTTTTTTTTTAACTTGAAATTGCTTTATTCAGTGCTTATTCAGGTTTAAATCATGTGGTCTGCTTGTTTTGGAGATTAGGAGACCTCTGCAGATAATTCAGCTCCCAGTAAAAACCTTCTAAATGATGGACAATGATGAAATTCTAACTGAGGGAAGTTTCAGCTGGTTGAAATCTGCAATCCTTACTGCTAGATGCTACTAAACTTTACACACTGGACATTTAATAAATACACATTATGAATTTACATCATACAAAAACAACTCAATTACAATAGTTCAACACTAAATAGGTTACAGTCCTAATAACTGCACAATAAATGTTGAGTTTGGATCAATAATTGTCTCCTTGACTCAAGAGAGACTCAGACTTTTCTCTATTATCTATTTAAGAGTGGTTAAGATGATAATAAGAAAAGCTGGTCCATCTTAACAGTCCACCTTCTGTGAGCCTGCAGTTTCTACTGGGAGGCTAACTTTGCTCGCTAACTTCAGGGCTCGCTCCCTTTACTTTAATCAGCAGGTGACAAGCAAGACCCGGGAACTTGGCCTGAGTCTTGAGTTGTAGCATTTATTCACTGACAAATAGTTAATAAAACTGTCCACACATGGGACTGCTACATTCTCTACTGCCACACTCAATACGCACACAATCTGGTACCAAAATTTGTGTTGTGATCCAGTATGGTGGGTAGCCTACCGGTCATATAGGAACTGGGTTTTCAGTGTGTTGTGTGTGTTACCTGTTATTTTGGGTAGGACGGTCCTCTCTATGACATTAGACAGTGTCTGTCTGTCTGTGTTCTCCAGCTCTTCATGGCCGTGACCATGACAGAACGTCTCCACTGCTGTGAACCATGGGAGGTTTTCAAAGTCCCCACTGTTGTCCTGAAACACACAAATTACATTGGACACATGATGTCATAAGTTGTGTAATGGCGTGTGTGCTCTTATGAGCTTGTCTCTGTTTGTGTTCACATGTACCTTTAGTGGGTTCCACGCCAGTAGCTGATGTCTTATGATGGGGTTCAACAGTTTGGGCAGACACAGAGAGATGTAGGCATTGTGGTAAGAGTCAGAGTAAGACGCTCTCCATTCTTCAAAGCAGGACAGAATCTTCTTAGCGTCGCGGAAATCATCCTGGACATCAGAAAACACTGCCTGGGACCTCGATAGGATGTCAGCTGTAAAGGGGGCAGACAGAGAAGGACACGGTCAGACAAATTCAACAAAGTGATCAATTAATTCAGCCTGGAGATAATATGGTAGGATTTTTAATTCTGTTTTCTTCGACTTAGGATAAGGTAAAATAAAGAGGAAGAAGGAAACAGAGAGAAAGAAGAAGCTGCACTAAGTAAGGTACAGAATTACTGTGTATTGCAGCCTGACAGATTTTTCCTGTGTCACACTTTATATAGTCAAAGCTGTTAAAATAAAAATCTGGTCTACAGATTGAAGCTTTTAGTTGAACAGATTTAATTCCACTTCACCTATCTTCTTCTGCAGCTGCTCCTCCTCTTCTGCTGAGGGATGTGTGTCTTCAGGTAATGCAAAATCTTCTTCAGCTTTAAAACCAGAGTCTGCTTTGCTGCAACATGTCAGACAAATATCATATAAATATCTGTGTAAGACTAGAGCGAAGCAGCTGTTTCACAGACCTCGTACATTCCTCTTTTCCTTTTTTTTTTTTGAGTCTGTGTTTGTCCACACACACACACACACACACACACAAATATATAATCTTTCTCAATCTATTTGTTTATTTGTAGAATATAGTTAATTGGAAAATGTAATATATAAAAGAAGAAAATTAGAAAACTTAATATCGACAGATATTTTTGGACACTTACCTTTGTGTTTCTGTTCCATTGGTGGAGCTTCCACTCTGCTCATCTGTGCTATCTAAAATGTGGGATCAAAAAAATCCATTTAATGTAAATATTTCATCCAAAGACCATTTTAAGACATATTGTACGGATACAGATTGCTCATACGGACACACAGAGGTTACTCACAGCTGAGCTGCTGCAGGCGGTCAGCCTGCTCCTTGATTCCCTGTCGTCTCTTATCCAACAGCGCATCCATCTGGTCAGACAGTGCAGAGTGCAGCTCCAGTTCCAGTGAGTTGATCTCAATGACCTGTCAACAATCAACAAATTATCATCATTTATCTTCAGAAAGGGGAATATTTCTTAAACATTTTGTTTGTCCATTCTTTACTTGATCATGTTATGTGGTATATATTCACACCATGATCACATCAGTTACCTTAATTGCAATACGACAACCATTCCATCAAATTTGGGTACCAAAACCTGAAGCCTGCCATCAGCTTTAAAAAGTAAAACTCACTGTCGGGTACTGCAACCTTCTGTCACAGACATTCTGCTATTTGTTACACAGCCATCAACTTGGGAAGGTACAATTTAAGGTTCTGTTATATCAACATTGTTAATTATTTGACACATTTGCTTTTATATGATAGTTAACAGTGGATATTTGCTGAACAGATTTACTAATTTCTGACCTTCTCCCGCAGACACTCCACCAGGTTGTGGACATAGAGAGTCGTGGCCCTGTAGAACCTCAGCTGCCTCTCTGAAAAACTTTGCTCCAGAGACTCCATGGAGGTTTTAGCACTCTCAACATCGCCCTCCATCCTCCTCAGCTCTGCCTGCCGTGCTCTGTGCACCTCCTTCAGGGAGTCTAGTCTAGAAAAAAAATATCAGAAAAAGGTGTAATATGATGTAAGGAATAAGTAATGTAGTATCATTTTAAAAAAGGACACAGGAAAAATGTGTTAGAAAGTATTGTTATTACAATATTAAGGCTTACCAGACCAATATTTGATTCATAAATGTTTTCTTCGTTGGTCATATTGATGAAGTGGTGTGTCTTTAAGGCAAATAAAGCTAGAGGAAACTTACTTTCCAGTGATCCTCTTCTTGACCATTGAGACAGTGACGGGAGGGAGAGTCTTTGGGATTCTGACCCCTGTTGATCTTTTCTTATGTGGTCGTCTGTTGCGCCTGCTGCTACTGTTGCTGCTGGACTCACTGCCAGATGGACTCTGAAGTTAAGAAACAGGAGGGTAGAGGAGGTCAAATCTGCAGTACTGAGGGAAGAAGTTACACTGATGGAAGGCTCAAGTCTTCAGAAAATGAGACAATTATGCTATTCAAAAAAAACACATATTACAATAAATGGGACAAGAGTTTAACACAGGAAGAGCTGGGCAGAAAAGTTACATTCAAAAGAGGAAGTAAAACTTATAGACTTAAAGGCCCAATGAAATGAAAAGATAAGTTTTCCCAGTTTAAATCCTGTGTTACTTGTTTATTTCTTATGTGCCAAAATATGTCAAATGTTCATCAGAATGACAGTATTTTTACATCAAAAATCCCTGTCTTTTCTCTACCTGTAGAACCAGATAAAATGGTTTCAAATTACTCATCCTGCAGTCAGGGGCATTTAACCAAATGGTTTCTTCAGCCTTCATTAAGGAACAAAGATCAGCCTCTAAAATTAACTGATAAATAATTTGACAGTTACTATGATAATTACTGATATCAACTGATTGACTCCGCACACTTTTAGCAGACCAATCAAATGTAACGGACTTGATATAAATCCCCCTTGTGCATCGCTCAAATATTCTGTTTTACTGGAAAATATGTTAAAGCACAGAAGCTAAAGACGTTCCAACTCAATTTCACAGAAAAAAAAAAAAAGAATTTTGAAAAATATGAGAGAAAGAGTAAGAAAGCTACTCAGTTTGTTCCTACCTGTTCTCCTGGCCGTCTCTTGACTCCCTTCTCAATTTGTGTCTCCTCCCAAAGCTCCTGCTCTTCTCCATCAGTTCCTGAGAGGCTGCCATCACTTCCTGGATTGCACACAAACATACAAAATAGTACATGTCACATTCCCACAGTTTGGTGAAAAACAAGTGGAGCTTTTCAGGCAGCCAGCCTGCCATAATGTAATTTTCAAACAGCACTCAGTTTAAGTTCAGTTCTGTTGCCTCCAGTTTGTATGTTGTAATAATTCATATGCTCGTAGAAAAAGTGCTCACAAAGTGACTGTTCCACGTAAATTCAGATTTCACCAATACAGTAATTTCTCCCTGCCACTCATACCAAGTTTCTCAGCAATCCTCTCCTTGATGCTCTTTAATCGTGGGGCAAACTCAATTCTTCTCTCATGATCATCTGGCTCCTCGTCATCATCATCAACCCTATCTTCTTCATCCTCTCTGCTGTAGTGATCTGGAGTGCTACTAGCAGAGCTGTGGCCATCTCTATCCAGGGAAATATATTCTTTCTGGGCTCGAGCGGCATGACGCTGCCTCCTGGCTGCCTCGATCTCTCTAGCATTAGGGATAACGACTGTAAAGACAAATTGACAGACATATAAACGCATGTTGCATTGCATGATGATGTGTGTTAGTAAGTGTTAATAAATTAATAAAATTACTAATACAGATCCCCTAATTTTTAATTTAATCTAAGCAGCTGGCAGTACCTCCGCTGCTCACCACTGTAATGTCCAGTATGTATTAGTTACACTATATACATGCAGCCCTAATGAGCACTGAGCTGTAGGAACATGTAGCCTCTGTACTGTATGTTAATTTTGTTTTTTCTATATATATTCATCATGCACACAAAACAATTACTATCTGTGGATATAAAACATTAAAAGTTTTTTTTTCCTCTCTGGCATAAGACACATGCAGACATACAGTATAGGCTACACCCACAAACACATACCTGGTTTAATGGCAGAACGGCTGGAGTTTGAGGCTGAGCTACTTGATGGAGACCTGGCATCGCCTTCATCACTGTCACTATAATCATTGTTGTCATCATCATCATCATCGTCGTCATCACCATCACTGTCATCATTATGGTGCAGAGCACGTGGTGATGCCTGACTACCATATTCATATTCTTGCCTGGGAGAAGCAGATGGTGAGACACCTCCACCTGCTGGGCCTGAGAGAGAGGAGAGGGAGGCATGCCAATGTGAAAAATTTCAAAGAATGTTGGCCAACATTATCACATTATTATCTAGATAATTACTGAAATAAGATGAAAATCTTAAATATTACAAAGACCTGTTTGCAGCTGACAGTGCTAAAACATTTCAATAAGTACGAGGTGCCTTTTTGAAAACAATATATCTACACTAAACCAAATGTTTTTTGACTATGTTGACACGCTAATTCTTAACCCACACCTTGTTCAAAAAGTCCATAAATAGGCATTCATTAAATTATACTACAACCACTTGTATTTTATTAGGATATGCAATCAGTCAGTTGCCAGTTACACTGATCTAATACCTAATCTGCCCTCATTTATATAAATGGCATGGACAAAATATCAGACATACACTGCATTAGTGTTAAGTTAGATGTACCCAATAAAATGTCACCTGACATGTTAGTGTGTAAGAACCATGAGTGTTTTTGATATAAACCAATCAGGTACCCAGTCATAGTGGGGGGAAAGTGAAAATGATTACCCAGGGACTCAGCTGGAGTAGGGGCCCTAGAAAAGCCTGAAATGAAAATTTTGGTGTTGTTTGCAATTGTTTATTTCTAAGTAGGTAGTGCCATAACTAAATTAACATAGGCTGGTCAAAAGACTGAGCTCTCTGAGGCCCCTTTCACCCCTTAAAGGCACAAAATGGTTTAGTCAGCCCCTGCTACAGGATTCATCTCTAATTGCAGCTGGGGCAGAGCAAGACACTTGGAAAGGAAAGGAAAATGATGCAAACAGTACAATTGTAAAAGAATAAATAAATAAAAACGTGCATGCGCACTGAGTGTACAGTTGTGTCTAAATTTAGTATTTACATTTTATATTTTTCTAATTCTGATATATATCTTTTTGTATTTTATCTTTATTGACATTTAACTTGCTTTTATATCTGTGCTATTTGAGCTGTTATAACATGAATATCCCCCAGTATGGTATCAGTCAAGTTTTATCTTATCTTACGAAAGAGACAGTGAAGAAGAGAGGAAGGATGGGGGGCCCGGCCCACAGAGATTGCTTATGCATAGGGCCCAAAAAATGGTGCTACCAGGTACCTACCTCGGCTTTGGGTGGTCTTGGCTGGTGAAGCCTCCTTCTTTCTTACTTGGAACAGCACAGCTTTATCAGAGGACTTCTTCAGTTTAAATGTTGGTCCCTCAGCTAAGACAGTAAAAAGACAATCACAGATCCATGAGCAAAAACTCAATAGGAGAGCCCGTATTCACCTGTACTCCAAACAAATGCACAGGTAATTGAGACAATGTAACTCACAATACAACCCTATACCAACAGTTATTGTTTTCTGTCAGTACATCTATATTCCGTTGATCCTAACTTAATATAACACAAATTCTCGTTCCTGCTGACAATTTCAGTCAAACATATTTACTTATGTATTTTCTTCTCACGCTGATGTAACGTTTGTCAGCAGCCTTCATTGAGTAAACGTTGAGTAAACGTCTGACTCGGATCCATCTTTGTAAATACTTCAAAACGCCATATTTACACTTATTTACCTTCTTTGTCGTCAGAGAAACTAAGGATGGAGTTGGCAGTCTTCTTAGCCCCATCTTTATCTTTCTTCCTCTCCTCTCTTTCTTCTGTCGCTTCCACCGTCTCCCCGTCTTCTCCGTCACTGCTGTCCGGCTTGGTCGGCGTCGCTTCCCGCTTGGAACTGCATGTAATGCCGCGGCCCTGGGCCGGTTTGGACGGCTTATTTACCGCAGTTGGAGCTTTCTCATTTCCTTCTCCGTCTCCTCTGTCCTTCTGCTCGTCCTCCTCGTCGCTGGAGTTCTCCTTTCTCTGCCGAAAGTTCCTCCGAGGCTTTTTATTGAACATTTTCGCTTCACTTACATGGAGGTTGTAAACCAGAACTGAACCGTTGTACGTTACGTCAGAAATCGTTTGACAAAGTCGCAAAACGTAGCGTGAAGCTCCCGCAATGCACCATGGGCTATGTTGTTTGATTTTAGGGGCTAACGCGCGAACTACACAGCGGAGAAACTGCTGCTCATATTCAGCGCTGTATCTGTGAAATTAAGAGATAATATTGTTATTTCCACTTTTCAGTAGTTTCAGAAGTTTAGGCTTTTACGTAACTGTCACCAGTATCAATGGCTTTAACTGTTTTTTTACTACACTTTGCTCCATAATGCATTGCTGCCCCCTATCGTCATCAACGGCGGGCCAGTTTCATTTATAAACCCTGTATATGAAATTAATAAATTATTTGTAAATAATAATAAAAACAACGACATTGATAATAATAATATTAATAATAATAACAATAATAATAAAAATAATGTCTTCTAAAAATTGAATGAAGTGCACTTTGTTGCACATTTGATCAGGTTTCTTTTTTTAATGTGATGACTATGTTTATGGGATGCACCACAAAGCAGTATAATAGTGTGTTTCAAGTAATTCTATCTCCTTTGCTTTATTTTATCAAGGGATAACTACCGTTTTTAAACTAGACATAAGAACACAATAAAGATTCAACATACAGGGAATGGTATACAAATAGAACAACAACAAAATTGTCAGAGGTTTATTACGCTAGATGAAAATATTATAAATCATACAGATATGTGTCCTGATGGCCTTTTTGTTAGTAAAATTAGAAAGTAATTTTACATATTGCTCAATATCCTTCAGGAAAACAAAAAATAGGGCTTTTTATTGGTAAATGTAATTTATGAACTCATTCATTATCAAACATATTATTAATCAGTTATTTATGTCATTAATTTGTCTTCTTTTCTTGGGTTTTTGAAGAAAGCCAAACACCACTTTTTCCCATGATAATGTAGTCTTAAAGATATGATCAGTGACATATATGCAAAGGTCTTGTCAGAATGTCTTGTTGTGAGAACAATGTAAAAAATGTGTAAAACTGTTTCTGAATATTAATCCCAAAAAGAACAGTTCGTGTTTGTCTATTTTTTCTCCACACATATTAAATTGTAAGATCTTCTGTAGCTACACTATAGATCAAGATGCTATAATAGGCAACTGGAACAACGTTAAAACTTGTTTTAGAGCTGAGTGAATAAACGCACGAGTTTACCGCAAACCTGCACTTTGACAGCAGACACAGCTACACACATAAAAAGTTCAGAGTTGTTTCTAGACAGCAGATCCTGTAATCCCCACAACTGCTGCTTAACGCTTCCATGGAGACATGGTGACTCTGTGGACATGAGGGAGGAGGCATGATGTAACATGTTGCATCATGCAGTTAAGGTATTTGAAAGCGATTATTCAGTCTGATTTCAGATAAAGAGTAGCATGCTGCTGGCTCAGTCTACAAAACTGACAGTGGCAGGTAAAGGCCAATATAACTAACTGAAGTGTGACCGAAGACACTAAATGAATACAACTATTTATTTAAGGAAATATCTGTCAGGTAGATGAACACTACAGTTTCCCAAATTAAATGCAACACATTGTGCTCAAAAAGCTGTATTATCAATTAAAACAACACTAAATCTAAACAAGATAAATATTTCAACAGAAATTCACAGGCTGAAAACACAAACACTGAACAGAATAAACAATGGGGAACTCTCTCCACACCGAGACATAAATAAATACAAAACGTCTTCCTTATACAGACACGTTAAATTCATTTTTGCAGTGAGCTGGCTGGTACAAGCATCCCACTACATATTAAATATGTGGCATTTTATCAATTATCAGTGCAAAAAACAAAACAGACGTTAGCAAGAAGGTGAAAACTCGGCTGGAATGTATTTTAGTAGTGGTGAGTTAAAGAACATCCTGCAGACAAATGTGATGCGCTTGATAAAGACACTTAATGTAAACTTGATTAACTGTTTTTGTAAAGCACTGTTGGGATAGCGTGAGGTAAGCGTGTAATGTGTACGTAGTTGCAGATCCTGCGGGGGTTTAAGAGGGGAACAGACCAATCAAATCATATCAGCACACTGCTTCTGTCTTCATCTCCTGCTAAAGCCCAGTATTATTCAGGATATTAAGCAGTACAGCGAGATGCAGTGAGTGAGTGACTACGACGACTGCAAACTATTCAACACTTCCTTCTCTTGGTCTGAGCAAGTTAGAGAGGCACACATTTATACTCTTGCATACATCAGATCCAGTGGTTCTACTCAACAATCAGTGAGGTTTCAGGATAATGGTGTACTCTCTGGACTGAAACATCTGGAATAACTCTGAATGCATAGATTGCATGAAAACAAATAATAAAAACAAATAAAATTACTTCAATCATCAACACATGTAAACAAACCTTTTACACATATTTTAAACTAATACAGATATTAAAGCCATCAGGCTTTGTATCTAAAACTTTTGACAACTTAACAATTAAAAGGTCACAAATCTGTAATTTCTAGGACAAGCCTGTTTCTGCTAATGTAAGATTTAATGTGATACCTCACCTAAAATCTATAATCTGAGCGTCAAATACTCATCCTGTGTAAGATTGACAGATTCCTTCTTCAAAGTCAGTTACAACAGTTAAACAGATTATCATTGGTGAGTTTCACAGTGGAAACAGATACTAAACAATCCCTGTAAATCCCTTTCTCTGAGATATAATCCACTTCACCTCTGTCCTTCTATATGCTCTTTGTTCCAGCAAACATTCACCCAAAATATTACTATCAACACTGCATCTGTGTTGCGCTATCACGCTCACTGAAGCTATTAACAGTAGTGTATATGTATGGAAGAAGTATATTTTGATGAAATGATGACTGGACATACTGAACACATGGACAATGCAGGAGTGGTTTGAAATTTAGATACTTTTCCCCTCTACTATGAAATCATGTCACTACTGAAATCCACTGTAGCACTCATGAACTCTGAAGAAAGAAACAGCGTCCAGGGTGAGTGACACTCAAAACTTAGATATAAGATTAAATACCACTTCAAGAATTGGGTATTTTAAGGGGCGATGCTACAAATTAGACTTTTCATTATTCAGTTTTCTACATAGCTTATTTTACTCAATCCCTGGTGTCTTATGTATGCCACGGCATGTCACAACACAAAAACCTACATGCCCCCTTTGCAAACTTTAAATGTATGCTTATTATTACACATTCCAAAAGTTAAAAAAATAAAACTAAACTCTGCACAGCTCCATTACTCTTATTCTGAATTTCTTCTGAGCTCCGGTGGAGCTTCATTTGAATTCTGCCAGTCACCACACTGCACAAAAAATGTTTTGTTAGTCAAATCATCCTCATGCTTTGATATTCACATTCATGCCCAAGGTAAACACTTCCTTTCAGAATAAGGTGCTATTCATGTTGCAGGTAAATTAACACCGAAATACATCGAAATGTTTTGTACAGTAGAGATTAAAATGTTTTCTAAGTTGGCCAGTTGGATTTTATTTTGAGCCATATTACTAAATTCCAAGCTTGGACAATTTGAGAGGGACCCAACTGTTAAGCAAGTAATAATTCACTAACAGCACAACAAACCTTGTGGTTTGCCACAAACTGACACATGACATGTCATTACACTGGGTGGTTAAAAAAACAGTATATGCTTGTGTGTGCATGCATGTTTACAGGAATGTATCCAGACACGCTGCATAAAGTGTGGATAAAGGAAATAGACACACATCCACTGAAAGGCTGTTTTTTGACACCCATGGAATTTTGCTCTTGGCCAATATTTGACATAGGTGTGGCACCTTGCTGACAGGTGACATACTGAATATCAACCTTATTTAGCAGGAAATTTGCAGTCATGACTTCAAGCTTCAGTGAGAGTAAAGACTGTCTACTTTTTGGCATGGTACAGGTAATAAACATGTAAACTGGGCACCTGTAGAGTTTTACACAGCTATTACAATATTTTCTGCTGAGAATCAGAATAATGGAGCTGTTTATAAAAAAAAATTAGTGTACACACAAATCATAAATCATAACTGTGAAGGTATAAAACATATACAGCACAGTTATGCTTTCCAAAGCAAAATATTCTGCTCAAAGTGAGACAGAATGTGAAAAGCAAAAGTAGTCATGAGTAATGTAAACTGCTTCAGCAGCTGAATGAAAGGAGAAACATTCAGAGCCCAGTTTTGTCAGACACATGTAGTAGTTGCACTGGGTGTATAAATATATTTAGTTCTTATTTCTCTGCAGAGCCTCACACAGATTGTGATTCGGATCTGGCTCCTGACTCATGATCTCAACACACTCCCATTCTCCGCTACAACTGGACCGTTTCACCGCCTCGACCACTGTCTGCACATACAGACCATCCTCGAATGTTGGGGCCATGGCAACTGGTCCTCGCGCCCATGACCTGCGCTCCTCATGAGCCTGAAAAGACTGTCTCAGTGCCTTTACCATGGAGCTCAGCCCCCGCAGGTGAGGCAGGGGCATCTCTTTCACCTCTGGTCCCACCCACCCACTGTCACCTAGCAACAGCTCCTCACCTTTACTCCCATTGCGTTGACCATACAGCTCTGCCCCCCTGGCAACCAGTCTCCCAGTGGATCCAACTACCATAACCTCGTGCACAAATGACCCTGGCATGTTGAAGTTCAGGGTCACAGTGCAACACACGCCACCAGGGCTAGAGCCAGTTCCACTCATCAACATTTGGAAGAAGCAAAAATCATCGCTGGTGACGCGGCGGATGCCTCGGATCAAGCTATTTTGTTGTACAAAGGTCCGCAGTAAGCCATGAACACGATGGGCTCGTGCACCAGTTAGGTAACTTAAAAGGTCAATGATGGAAGAGCCAACAGTGTGCAGACCACCTCCTCCCATCAGCTCCTCACACGTCCAGCCGTACGACTGATCCAGGAGGCTGGGGCCGTAGACTCGGACATCGCACACCTGCATTTCGCCAACATATCCCTCCACCAGCAGCTG